TTAAATGAACATTAGGGGCTGGGGATATAGCTCAGTGGCGTAAGCACTTGCCTGGCAAGCGCAAGGTCTTGAGTTTGATCCCCAGTCGCCCCCCCCAAAAAAAGAACATTAAAGTTGATGAATAATTCAAATGCTAATGGAAAAACATTGCGTCTATGGGCAATGAAAATTGGGGAAGAGTGGCATATTATCTTATAGCTTAGTCACATCAAATGACCACCTTGAACTGAGGCAGAAGAAATACTAGGATGGTGTAAGGGAGGGTAATGAGGAGAAGAATATGAATAAAATATATTAAAATGTAAATTTTGCCAGCATATAACAACTTATTTAATGTTACACTAACAATATCCTCAGAAAAATCACTGGTCCTGGAGCTACTTGGCTACCTTCCATCATCCCCTACTTTCCCACTGAGTATAGATTCCTTCTTTCTTCTTCCTACATGGAAATCCCTTTTCTGTCCTTCACTAATGCATGCAGAATTAAACTTCATGCTTTCCCCCTGATGTAATACTGTTTTTAATCAAAGTCATACCTCATTCCGCATGTCCCTTTTTGAACAATGTCTATGAACTCTCAATAAACTACAGCAGTTATGTGAGCAGTGGTACTTTTCTCTCTGAACTCTTACATGAACTGCATGGATATGTGAGTGTTGTACATCAAGGAGTTTGAAAGCGTGGGTTCAACAGGCAGTCCCTTCTGGAAGCTGTCTTTCACAGCATCACTTTCATCTGCCCTTCTTTAAATTGGTAACGTATCATCTAATTTTTTGGCATTATAAAATACAAAAGCTTATTTATTGATTAGTTTATTCATTTATTGCCCTGTTCCAGATATAACTTGTCAAGCGCCCTAACACTGATTTTCACTGCAGGTAACATTAAGCATTCTTTCCAATTTTTACATGATTTGTAAACACTTTGACTTTGGAACTGAGGGGATGTGTTTGGTAGTTTTGTAACTTACCATTATGACAATGAAGCCCAGAGTGGAGGATATAACTTGTGTGTTTGAAATCTCCTATTTAAACTTTTAACAAATTTAGCATAGTTAGGTAGATGTCTTAGCCACTTTCCTATCACTGGGACAAAATGTTCAACTACTTCAACTTAAAGGAGTAGGGTTTATGTTTACTCACAGACTCAGTTCACATTCTCTTGGTTCCAAGGTAGAAAATGGAAGGCAAAGTGGAGGAAAAGGTACACAAACTGTAGCAGCCAGAAGAAGGGAAAGGTGGGACTAGGACTGACACAGGACATGACCCTAGTACCTGCCTCCAAAAATCCCCACCTCCTAATCGCATATTCTGATAGTGAATTCATCAGTGAATGCATCCACTGAGAGACACGGCCACAGAAACCATTCCGTTTTCACACTTACAACACATTCTGTGCACATTGTAGATATGAACCATAATACTTGGTGTGTTGCTGGGATGAAAACTAACACAAAGCACAGCCCAGGCTCACCCACACAGAAACCTCACACAAGGCAGGAGTCTCCCCTTAACCCTCCTTCTCCCTGCACAGCATGGGGAAAAGTGGGGCTGCACGCACGCAGCTGGGAAAGTCAGGGCTCTGGCCATGGTGGAGTCATCTCCCTTATCTAGGACAGGATGCTTAGTTCCTGACAGACGCCTCCGCCCCGCCCAGAGGGCCAGAAAGGACCAAATGTGCACCACT